CTGCTACCCCTCCTCTGGGTCGCTCTCGTCGCTCCTCTCTTCTCCCTCACCAATCGAGCACAGGTAAACAACAATTTTTTTTCTCTCCCGCACTGTGCCGCTCCTCTGCTCTTGTTTCGTTTCCATAGCACTTGCTTTGATTTTCAAGAAATGCAAATGAATTTCTTGGTTTTCAGTTGATGGATCTGTTTTAAAACGATTCTTACACCTAAATTTATATATCTTACACCTATATTTTATATGAAAATGTCGTGGAAGTTGCCTGGCTCCCAAGCATCACCAATGGCTTTATAACAATAAATATCAAACTTTGGATGCTAGAAATGTAAACACATAAGAATTTTGTGGTTTCTATGTAAATATTCCATATAATGTGATGACATGAATATTTTTTTAAGTGTTATTACACTAATGCACGATTGCATTAAGAAGTTTAGTAAATTTGTAAAAAGATCTGCAAATCAGCTGTTTACAAAATGCACAAACCAAACAGCTACAGCTTATCCAATACAGGGGCAGATTTGTCATTTTTCCAGAATCAGTTGTTCTCTAAATTCCAGAATCAGCTGTTCTCTAAACGCACAAACCAAACAGACAAACAGCTTATCTGGATCAGCTGCTTATCACCAGATTATCAGGATAAACAGCTTATCGGGATAAGCTGGATAAGCTGTAGCTGCCCCAAACAGACCCTAAAACTCTAGTCTCTCGTATATCTTTCATTTCTACTCTGCTCATAAATCCTACCTGATTAAAAAGTGGTATTCAAAAAGTACAGTACAATCATTGTACAATACAAATGATTAAGAATAAAGATGGTACAGCAACTCAATATAAAAAATATCTATAAAGTTATCCAAAAAAGCTAGGAAAATGACATACATATCACTATGGGAAAACCAACACCTACATCTGAATGTGAGAGTTGGTGCAAACTTAAAAATATGACAATGCTAAAATATGAGAGACTACATCCCATAAGATCATGGTTCGTGAGTTATCTTTTGTTTTTACAAAATAATCAATAAATTAGTAGGTGCGATCATATTTTTAAAATTATTTATTGAATTCTTTAAATAAAAATTTTGATAAACATTTGAATTTTTAGATCGTTTAAATGCTAGTTCACTTGTTATAAATAAATAAAGTTCAAACATTAAAATGTTTAAATAAGTCGAGCTTGAACAGTATATGAAAACTCAACACAAGCTCAAGCCGAACATGAACAACTTATATTTATATCAAGCTAAGTCTGAACTATGATATGCTCGGCTTGACTCGGCTCGATTACAACCCTCTTACAATAAATTTAGAAGATAATATAAGAAAACCTATGAGAGAAGCACACATTCAATTTTATGTAGTCATAGAAGTATGATAGTTTTGCAGCAAAAGAAAATTAAATTGGCACAATATAACAGGTTAACATAAAAAATCAGTCAACACTAACATTGTCCAGACCATCTCATCCATTTATTTCTACTAAATGTTGCATGACGTAGTAGTTAAACATATTATTAGTTTCGCTTTTTTCGCATGCCTTTTATAAATATTATCATTAGTATATTTCTCTTCCTTCCCATTATGAAAAGTAATAAGTCTGAATCTTGTATATTAGGAAAGTTGATATTAGACAACTTAATTAGAAGAGATCTTATTATAGGATATTTTATATATTAGAGTTATTTTTAATTTATAGAGTTGGGAGCGTATATAAACATATAATATATGCTCTCAATTGTGAATAAGAAAAAGAGGAAGTTCTCCA